GATATATATCGTTATATCAAACAGCCCTATCAGTAGATATCAGTAGAAAGCTTTTCTACTTACATTTAGCTTGTAAGGCATCGACTCAAAGTAGATTGAGGTTGCAGAGATTCTTTTCACATCAGACATGTAGCCGTGAGTCAGACTGGAGTAAAAAAAACAAAACAAACAATAAATACATAAAGAATAAAACAGAAAAATCTGATTTATGAATTTAAAAAAAGTGTGTGTGGGGGGGAATACAGCAAAAATACAGCAACAGTGAATACTAACTGTCCACCATCAGGCAGGTCCAGGCCCATGATACGATCGTGGGGATTGAGTACAGCGGTGTAACTGGCAAAGTTGGCAGGAGAGCCAGAGTACGGTTGGACGTTGACGCCCCACAGAGCTGGATCCAGGTCAAAGGCCTCCAGAGCTCGCTTCTGACAGAGCAGCTCAATTTGGTCAACCACTTCTGCTCCACCATAATACCTGAGGGTGGAGTTGGAAACATGAACTACTGTGAAGAACCTGCTTTTTGTTAGAATTTAAACCTACAATGATTAATTGTTTGGCCACAACGCACAATAGTTCCTTTTAGGCCAATGTGGCGAACTGTTGTTTATGTGCATTCCCAACAAACACAGAAAATAAATATCATTCAAATCTGATAAATGTAAATCCAGCGTTCAGTCTTATGTGTGTTTTTGTTACAGTCAGCTCCCGATGAAAACTGCAACAACAATCGCCAGCTACTTGCTGTCTATTTGTCTGTTGCTTGAGATTGAGCAGGTAGAACATATTGGGGGGAAAAAAATCAACACTATGACAGGTGTACATTATGGTAAAATATTTCCTCCATAGCGTAGACTCATCGGTATAAGCAAAGCCTTTAAGTACAGCACTAATTCTACACTATCATTTGCAGTCATTACTTACCTGAAGGAAATAACAGAAAATTCATTAACTGAAAATAATATCAACCATGTTAATAAACAGAGGTGTAGCTGAATAAAAACCTACCTTTTTCCTGGGTAGCCTTCAGAGTATTTGTTGTTAAGACAGGAGCCGAGAGCTTCCAGAGCAGCGCGGCTGCAGAAATTCTGCAATGAAAACACACACAAGCAAACACTCAGATTAATGGCACGAGTGGACAGATGGGACAACGACAGCAAATTAAAGTCTGTGATGTGATGGCGGGAAATTCTCCCCTGATTAAAAGCAATCAGTGTAATACTGTCTCTCTGTGTTAGCCCTATGACAGACTGGCAGAGCTCTGTCCAGGCTGTCTCTCACATCCTACCGTAGCTCAGATTGGCTCCGCCTCTCCACAAGTCTGAACTGAACAAGAGGAAGAAAATGGATGGGTGGATATTATTATATTAATATCTGCAGAAAAAGGTTTTTGTTTAGTTTTTTTTTCATCAAATGATCCATTTTTTCTTCACCTCCCATGGAAGTATAGCTCAGATTATTTTGGTTTGTTTTTCCTGGGAGTTTCTATTCATGGGTCAATGTGTGTTATTAAAACTACAAGACCCAGATTTACCTGCAAACATGCTCATCCAGTTCTGACATTCCTACACAGACTTTCATATATTTCCTCCTACATGTACTCACTTGACAAGTTAACACTGTGTCTGAGCTGCCAGGCTGTCCTTGTGCCCCACCGTACACCCAAACCAAACAGCACCAAACAGAAGAAGTTGCTGCGCTCAGACTTAATTGGATTCCATCTTTTTCAGGCCTAACTGAAATAGTGAAAGCTTTACCAAATTCAGAGGTCCAAAACAGCCCTAAATATGACAGATTTGGTTGTCTAAAATAAAAATAAAAATATGTGTGGCTACTGCAGGCACAATGTGAGCTCCAATTTAAACAAAAATGCTGATAAAGTAATCTACTCTGCACAGAAACTTCATAAAACTGTTGTCAGTGGATGATATGAACAGCACCTCCCTTCTCACTGGTAGAACAAAAGATAAAAGCAGGGCCGATTCAAATAAACTGCTTGGTGTGAAATGAAAAACGTTACTATTCAAAAGAACAGACAAGGTTTTATCTTCTGTTTCTTCTTCGCCACAGTAGTTGCAGCCCTGGCTGTGTAACATGTCTCTCTTATATATCGTCACACTTGTCAGTAACAGGATCTGACATAAAATGAACATGTAGCTGAATTCTGCCTCTCTGAGTGGTGGTCGTGGTGTGTTGTTATGCTAATGCTTCACCTGGAAGCTAACAGCTTTCTACTGCATCCGTCTGTCACGCCAACTGCTGTGCATATATTGTGTGTACACACGTGGAAAACTGTACGTCTTCTCATCGGAGGAATGTCTGTCTGAGCTGTACTGAGATGTGACTTGCAGAGTGAGCTGGTGAGGAGGCAGAATGAAGATATCAGCTTTATCTCACACTAGAGTGGTCAGGCTTTGTGTTGAGAGGGGGCTGACATACTCCACTGAACTGTGGCGAAGAAGGAACAGCAGAAGATAAAACCTCGTCTGCTCTTCTGAATAGTAAAATGTTTCGTTTCACACCATCCAGCCTTGGAATGAAAACAAAGAGCTGCCCGAATCTTTCTGATAACTGAGCTACAACATGCAGAGTTTCTTATAAGTGTTTATACTATTAAAGAAGTTGAGTTTGAATGACTTCCAGCCTACTGTGGGCAGTTTCTCAGTGAGTGAATAATGAATTAACAGGAAGCTTGATATGAATTTATTCCTAACAAAACCATTTCTGCATTAAGGTGTGTGCCGACTTATTCTGACTTTCAATATGTTTATATTCATGTTAATCCACTTATTGTGCAGCCTATTCCATCCCCACTAGGGCAGGGCAATATGGCCAAAAACATTTATCACGATATATTTTTGAAAATTTGCAATAACGATATAACTGACGATCTAATTGACGCGAGACAAAATACTTTACTAAAAATACTAAAAGTTTATTAGTGCAAAAAACCCCATCAATGTATTTTCGCTTAAACAAGCAGCTGTTTTTTATGTGCATTAAAGTTATATAAAAATTTGCAGTGCAAATGCAAATTCTTGCTGACAGTTTAGCCAAAAGTAATTTCCAGTGGAAATTGGATG